AGATATTTTACCAACTTTAGTGAAGGAAAAATTTCGAAAAACTATGGAACAGACTCTTGATTATCATTTTTAATATATTTTTCAGAAATAATATTGCTAATTTTTATTTTATTGGACCTTAAATCTATTGATACCTATTAATAATATTAAGGTCTTTTTACTTGTAAAAATATATGTTTCTACTAACTTTAATAAAGGAAAAATGTTAGAAATATATAGAACATCCTTCTAATTATAATCTTTTAAATAAATTGCTCAACTGAAATTTGCACTATTATTTTGAACTTATAATCAAAAACAAAATGAAATGAAACATCATACGATACATATCCTACGTCGCGTCGCCTCGACCGTTAAACAATTCGTACTTAATAAGCTGTAATCAATCACCTCCTGGACTAAACGTAAAATACTAACTAACTAACTTATATTGGCCACTTGATTGATTACATTCGAATTGTACTTGCTCCTACATTAGTACCTATACATTACCAGTATTACAGATAGGCTTTGGATGTGGTTGGATGCGCCTATCTGGAAAAAAATTCAGTGTTGAGAGACGGGCCAGGTTTTTCCCTTACACTCCAAGCGTATCCGCAATACTTTGAATACCCAAACAGGTCTGAGCTTATTTTGATTCATCAACGAAGCTTTTAATTTCAGAGTGAACGTCACAAGAAATTGAAGCGTTCAACATTTAAATAGAATTCATATATCCCATTCTATCAAACATTTTCATGTAGTTGATAGTATTCATAGTCAATAAAAATTTGAGGAAAGTGGCAAATATGAAAAACTGATTAGTTTAGTTGTTTAGTCGCAAACTGTATTCATATTCAGATATAATATATATGATGTTTCATAATTATCATGAAAAATGATAAATACAACTTTAACCACTTGTATTTGTAACTTTCGTTACTGCAGTTTCGTCCTATAAGGGCATTTTCAGACCACACGCCAGGTTATCTAATTTCCTTTTTAATGTCAAAGATAAAGTGGACAAAATGGAGAAATCTGGAGTTTATAACCTCAAGTGTCCAGAGTGTAGTAGTATTTATGTGGGATAATGAGGACGAAATTTATCAAAACGGCATACTGAACATGGAAGGTCCTTCAGACTAGATAAACATGATTCGACATTTTCAAACCATGCCGTGGAACGACGTTTTCAAACCATTCCTTGGAATGCAACCACAAGTTTCCGAATCTAAACCATACGTTAATTTTTGCACTATGCAAGTAAGGGTTGGAAACTCAACTCCCAGACATTTAGTTGCAGTATAACAGTTCAGACAGTATAAGAGAAAAAATGAAACAGTCAAGATTTAAGTTCTAAAACCGCAGCTTGTATAAATATTGCAACAAAATAATGGGTGAAAAAATATACACCCGACAGAATAGTTGCAATACTCAAATAAAGTGAATCAAGTAGAGCTGATGATACGAGTATAAATGTATAACATGAAATAGTTTACTTTGTAGTAAATGTTCAAGAGGTAGCAAAAACGTATGTGAATTTCTGGAACTTCAACTAGCGTTTTCTAATATGACTAATAACCAATCCGTGCAAAGCTTATTGTTAAATCATCTGAAAATGGAACTTTTAACAGATGATGATCGACTGTATTGCCAAACATGCGCCAAAATAACTGTCTGTTATAAGAAAACAAGTATAGTTGAGGCACCAGCCAATCTAATAATAACACTATATAATGATCTTCAAACATGACTCAACCTCTGACGGAAGCACCAAACTCTTACGAAGGTTCGAAATAGATGAACACTTCAATCTAGCAGACCACTATTATAATATTCATGCAGTCATTGTTCACTGTGGTTCTGGCGTTGAATCTGATCGTTATTACGCCTTGGTCAAAGACGAAACGGACTGGTCTAAGTTTGACGATAGTCGTGTCACTAATTGTTCTGGCGATGTATTAAATGTATTGGAGCTTCTGGAGACACCTTACATTTTGTTTTATAAGAGAGAGGACATTGGGATGAGATCAATATCTCCAAATGATGTGGTGCTGCAGGTTTATACGGGTTTTCCTGCAGCTGAAAAAGCAAATACGCCACTGGAATCAATAAAGTCGTCCCGGAGCGCCAATTAATTTTTGTTATTGTTTTATAATTTCATGATTTGTATTTTGGTAATGAAGTGAGTACAATGAAGAGAACTAACAAACAGATCAAATAAAATAAAAAATCAGAACATACAATATCACACTCATTATTTAATATTTCTCCTACATTCACACTTATGAAACATACATTAGAAGGTTCTTCTCATTACGATGTTATTTTTTTCAGGTTGCAGCGTGTGAAAAATCGCCAAAAACACGTCGCTAAGTTACTTTGATAACCCTCACAAAAAAGTCTTGTTCCACATTCAATTATAATCAATAATAATTGTATTCAGTCAATAGGAAGGTATAATTTATTTCTCTTCTGTAATCTGAACAGAAATACTTGTTCGTTTTAATTAACTAGCTTAGTACCGCTTCAAAATAGATACTTTTTTTGCCATTATTATTCATTCGAAACCTGATTTTTTTGAACATAGGTAAATGAAACGGGCAGCAATGATAAGCTTGGATGTTAGATTGGACAATGACTCTCTTTACCGTCGAAGTTTCATCCGAGGTGTCCCGTTTAGAAATGTCAGCACCATTAAGATTTATATTTAATCTATTGGCTCAGTTCTGGTTGCAATGAAAACGAACTACTTACATATAGTGTTCAAAAAATCATACCTACATTTATATCATTAAAATCTGACATTTTAATTTCACATCATTCACCATTTTATCAGATGCCGTTAGTTCCTGGTATTCCCAATTTTTTTCAACCACTTGATAGTGCTTCCATGAATGCAACTTTCTCTCCATTTGGCCGACCTTCTAACTCATATGGTTCACATTTTTCCAATATAATTCCATCAAAGAAGTGGCCACTCTGTATAGAAATTGACTTGTTTCAGGATTTTTCATTAGCGTTCATGATTACGTAGGAAATGAACTCACCCGTTACTTTGGGACCTCACTGTATATATTTTATGTAACTCAGTAAACAGTTAGAAAAATGTAATGAACACTCATTTTTTGATATTTAAAAAAAATATCTCAGTTACGCCATTCAATTCAAATTGTTTTTATTTCATTTTATTGATAAAAATTAGATCTATCAGGAACCTTACTGCAAAAGATTTTCGTGAACTCATTCGCAAGAATCAACCTTTCACCTGATCCATCTATACGCACTGACGCGAGAACCAAAACATTTTAAATTTCGAAGTATACGAACCGAAAAGTTTGGCACCGGTGTGTAACCGATCATCTCCAGTGAGAAATGAAGAAGGAGAAGTGGAACATCAATGAGCGAGAGAAAGAAAGATATCTTGCATAATTCTGTGAAATCAGGTGGGGCTCCGCAAGTTCCAATAATTTAAAATACAATTCTTCCTTGTTTCCCCGGCAGTTCGCCATTCTCTCCCGAAGAATTTGTTTGCGAATACATTTTGGTGAGTGTTAATTTCTTTGAGGAATGTGAAATGTATGAGGACAGTGAAAAATTTGTGTAAATCGCATTGACCGTGAAAAAACACAGTGTTTCAATTTTAAACTTCATATAATTGGCATAACAATTATAAAAAAAATATAGTTTGTTGGAATATGTACAAACGTTCAAGAAAAGAATTCATTGGTCCAAAACAGAATATTTCAAATAAATGAATTATATATAATGTTAACTTTTTGTGATTCTCAATTTTCAAGATATATGTTAAACAGAAGGTTAACAATTATAAGGTTGACTTAGGAAATTTCGACCAAAATATATAAGTGAGATATTTTCTATTTTTTGTCTTGATAACTAAGAATACATTATATATAACAACAATCGACAAAATAAAAGCGCTAATTAAATAAACAGTGAGCAGCAGAAAATTTCAGAAATGTACTCTCAAAGAGCACAATTCTTGGTAAGTTATCTCAGACAACCTACTTAAGACATTTTGGAATTATATTTTCAAATTAATTTTTATTGAAGTATTGAATATCAAAAACATATCAACTCATATTTTATGAAGTGCCAAAATGACATTCTCAGGATATTTTCTTCTGATAAAAAAATTGATATGGGAACTTTCAGCGTACTACTTGTGTGTTAATGAAAAGCTTGACTTTTTACTTTCAAATATCAAGTTTACATATCGTGCTATTACCGAACAAATTGAATTATTCAGATTTATTCGTTAGAGTGCTTACATTTCAAACGTCTAAATGATAAACTAGATAATGATTGCAATTATCGTGAAATGATAATATAAGTAGTTGATTTATTATGCTCATATGAAAAGATGATTTGATTCCTTTTTTAACTAAAAAACCATTAAACGATATAAATATTCATCAATCAATTTTTCAGACTCATTTGGTCAAAAAGTTATGTGTTAATTTGTAAATGAATACATTTTTTTTTAATTAGTCTTGTTTTGTGAAATTTAATTTTAATCATCAGAACATTCGACAATTTACAGAGAAACTGGCCTTAGTCACAAATCGATAAATATTCCCAAATGAAAATTAATCTTATTGCATTGAAAAAATTATGCGTCTCATTGTTATCTCTCATTTAAGTACAGTGCTTGAATGATATTCCCACTCAGTTGTGGATGAATCCTGCAATGCGCATGTTTACTGGTTATTCAACAAATTTTGTGCAATTCTAATACTTATTTTGTTGATTATAGAACAAGAAATTATTTGGTTATTAGAGGTCCGGAATTCCATTATCTATAAAAATATTGAGAAGATTTTGAGTTAATGACAACAAAAATCTAATCGTTTCTGCAAAACGAGGAAGTTTCAATCTTCCTCTTTGAAGATAATCACTTGGTGATCGAAACACGTGTCGAGGTGTTAAAAATAACGATTTGGTGTTGGGAAAAAACTCCAGTAATATTCAT